GGGGGGGGGGGGGGGGGGGGGGAGTACTTTTCAGAATTAGTAATATATCATAGGGTTTCTATGGTAGCAGCATGTGAGTGATGGCCTGCCAGTTTGATTGAATGCGAACATATGTCTGTCTGGGGGGGGGGGGGCGGGGGGTGCAGTATAACAGTCAAAACACTGATTTCTGGCAAGGCACCCAGCGTATGAAGAAGGCACTAGACTTCCTGCTAAGCCATTGTGAGTTAAACAGGTAACTCACCCTCACCAATGATGTGTTTAGCATGCCAGGGAGCCCGCTGGGAATCCTGGTTTTAGCACATCTTTGAAATGGATAATTTGTTTTCTGTTTATCATCACTACGGCACTCATGACCATAGCCACTGCGCTCTGCGGCGTCGCTCTCCACGCTTCACTGGAAGTCTGCGCTACTGTTAGGCATCATGAAGAGTGCGGCAGCTGCTGGCGAGGCAATCAGAGGCGTTACCGCGGTTTACAACAGAAAGTATAAGCAAGCTGCATAAAGACATTTAAGCATGTCTGAGCAGGGCTGCATGTATCCCACGCTTTACAAATTGACAAGAAAAAGCTGACAGATGCACTTTCCAGAATGGTGGCAGAATTAATCGAGTGCTATTTTATAGCTGCTTCGCCGTTGATCAGAACCCTTGTACTGAGATCAGCTAGATCAGCCTTGCATTGGAGATCCAAAGCTTACTTTTAAAAAGAAGTATGAGTAGATTATTACAGTCAGTGTTATAAAGTAATTTACATATGCCTACACATACAGTACTGCCACCAACAGAGCTAGAAAATGATCATTGGGAGGACACGTAGTCAAAATATTGAAAGTTAACAAAACGTCTGGGTATTATTAACAAAAAGTACATATCATCCAGGATTTAGAACTGATGCTGCCCAATCAGTTCTTACAAAAATAAATATATTCCTCCTGCAAAAGTGTAGAAAACGTCTTACAAAGAATGTGAATCTGCGCACTACTTGATATTTATGGGGGGGAAAAAACCAATTATACTACTGACTAAGTGATTAAATACAAAGCTAAACCGGGTCTCTGGTAGTCAAGAATCGAGCAGAATTAAAACGGCCGTGCAAAGTTTGTACTTTGACAAATCTGAGAAATGTTATATCTTCAGAGTGGGTAAGAAGAGGCAATGCTGCAGCATGTTCTTTATAGATAGGCAATAGTGTGGTTACTCGGTGCCAGGACTAATACTTTATTCATAATTTGCATAATACTAGACTTGCAGATATTTAGTTACAGTATCAGTCTTGTTTTTAAAGTGCTTTGTGGAAACATTAATGATCTATTTGAATCAATCTGAAAAGGACAGTATTTTCAACCTGTACTGTAGCTCACAGACACGCCTCTTTCTTCTCTTTTCCCCCTTTATCATTCTTTAACCTCAGCATCTATCCCCTCCCCTCCTTCAACTGTCCTGGCTGTTTCCCCCTTTCTCACAGCATGGCTTTCTTTATCTGCTTTTCATTACACCAAGCAGGAGCGCAGGACAGATTTTTGAAGTGGGGAGGACTAAACAATGAGCAAAAGCTCTCAACCTTTAAGTATACCCAGCCATGCTTGATGGGGCTTAAAACTGGGGAGGAAGTACCCCGCCCCCCCTAACATCTGCGCCTTTGACGCCAATCAGCCACTCACTGCATCAGACTGTCTACTGCCTCCCCTTCTGGCCCCTCTTGAGGTTGCGCTGTCCCCGCGTTCACGCCATTCCCCTCTCCTCCACCCTCCTCTTCACCCTCCAGACCAGAATAGTGCTCCAGTGCCTGGTGCCGGTTTCTGGAAGGGGCGTCCCGAAAACACCGGCCACAGTCCTCGCAGGAATACTGACGTGACTCGCGTGCCGTTTCCCCAGAAACCCTCTGCTTCCGCGTGCCCTTAGCCGATGTGGGCTCCAGCTCGCTGCCCGAATCGAGGGGGAACCCTGATCCTGGGGACAGAAGGGAGCTGGAAACAGTGGAGGGGGGATCACTCAAATCGGCATCGGGATTGGTACCGGGACTCTCACAAGTGTTAGAGCTAGAGCTGAGGCTGATGGCAGGACTCACACTACGATTGGCTGTCAGTCCAAAGCTAGAATTTCCCCGGGGACCAATGGTAGCGACAGATGTGGAGGCTAGGAGGCCCGAATGTGTGTCTAAAGTAAGGCTGGTCTCGGAGAGGATGCCGTGCACGGTCCGATAGTGGAAGCGGATCCCAGAACGGTTGGAGAAGCCCTTTCCACAAAGGCCACAGACAAAAGGCCGCTCACCAGTGTGAATGCGCATGTGAATCTTTAGCGCCCCTGACTGGGTAAAGCATTTTCCACACTGGGGGCAGCGGTAGGGCTTCTCGCCCGTGTGGATACGCTGGTGTGCCCGGATTCCCGCCAGGTGAGGGAAGCCGCGCCCACAGAAGGTGCAGGTGTACGGACGTTCGCCGGTGTGGATCCGTCGGTGGATCTTGAGCGCCCCCGATTGGCTGAAGCTCTTGCCGCAGTCGGAGCAGGGGTACGGCCGAGCACCCGTGTGCACGTTGAGGTGGATGCGCAGGTTGCTGTGTGAGTTGAACGCCCGGCCGCACTCGGCACACAGGAAGCCGCCTGTCTTGGAGGCATGTTGGGAGCGCTGGTGCTGAAGGAGCTGGGAGGGGCGGGGGAAGGAGGCAGAGCAGTGCATGCAGGGGTGCTGCGGGATCCCATCCTGCTGGGCGTGGCCTTGCTGGTGCCTCAGGAGCTGGGCACAAGTCTGGAACGTGCGCTGGCAGGAGAGGCAAGGAAAAGGGGCAGGAGCCTGGGTGGATTGGGGGAGCTGGGGGCAGTGCAAGCAGGAGGCGAGAGGACAGTGGTGGTGATGATAGTGGGGGTGAGACTGGGGGAAATCAGTGCCCTGCTGGTGGCTCAGAAGCTGGGCACAGGTCTGGAAACCCCGATGGCAGCAGAGACAGGGAAAGGTGGGCACCTGGGGAGGGCTGCTGGTGCTGCGGTCATGGGGCTCAGGGCTTTTCTCCTGCTGCTGTCGCTGGCTGCCATCCGCGTTACAGGCGCTGGTCTCTTCTTCTATGGACAGGCCCAGCCCTAGGCAAAGGCCCAGGCTGACAGGTCCACCGCTGCTCTCTTTGGGCTGCTGGCTCCTCTCAGACTGTGATGGCTGGGTCCGCACATTAGAGGTGTGCCTGGGCTTTAGGGTTTGGAAGGTGGGGGAGGATGTGGAAGGGGAAGAGAAGGGGCAGCCGGGGCAAGTGCAGGAATGATGCTGTACTATAAAAACAAAAAGTGGGAATGGGAGAGGGAGGGAGAGAGAGAGAGAGAGAGAGAACATAAAAAGGGACATGGTGGAAAAGATAAATATAAAAAAAATCTAATAAGTGTGTATAATAGGTGGGTAAATTGCTGTAATATATATATATATATATATAGATGTGTATATAAATGTGTATGTGTTATATATATACACAGTCATGTGAAAAAGAAAGTACACATATATACACTACTGTGGACTGACATATTGTACTCAGACACTCATGCTGCTAAACAGGGAGTTTTTCACTGTTTTTGTAATAGTGACAATAAAGATCTATCTATCTATCTATCTATCTATCTATCTATATGTCTGTGTGTGTGTTTGTGTGTGTGTGTGTGTGTATGTGTGTATGTATTTACATCTCAGGACATAATTAAAAAATCATCTGGTCCTTAGCAGGTCTTAAAATTAGGTAAAAACAACCGCACACGAACAACAACACATGGCATATTACACCATGCCATTATTAATTTAACAAAAACTAAGCCAAAATGCAGAAGCAGTATGTGAAAAATTAAGCACATCCTTACTGCTTCCATACTGAAGGTATTAAAATGGTAAGTAGCTGCCAGGTGCTGCTAATCAAATGTACTTGATTCAATGGAGCATTCAGGTATGCGTTACCATAATGCCGAGGAGGAAAGACATCAGACATAATCTTAGAGAAGCAATTGTGGTTGTCCATCAATCAGGGAAAGGTTATAAGACCATGTCCAAACAATTTGAAGTCCACCATTCTGCAGTGAGAAATATTATTCACAAGTGGCAAACATTCAAGACAGTTTCCAATCTCCCTAGGAGTTCACATCCCAGCAAATTCACCACAAGGTCAGCGAAATGGCAAAAAAAAAAAAAACATCTCAGACTCTAAAGGCCTCAGTTAGCATGTTAAATGTTAAAGTTCATGACAGTACACTTAGAAAAAGACTGAACAAGTATGGCTTGCTTGGAAGGGTTACCAGGAGAAAGCCTCTTTTCTCTGAAAAAGAACATGGCAGCATAGCTAGGGTTTGCAAAGTTGCATTTGAACAAACCACAAGACTTCCGGAACAATGTCTTTTGGACAGACAAGACCAAAGTGGAGATGTTTGGCCATAATGTACAGCGCCACATTTGGTGAAAATCAAACACAGCATATCAGCAAAAACACCTCATACCAACTGTCAAGCACAGTGGTGGAGGGGTGATGATTTGGGCTTGCTTTGCAGCCACAGGACCTGGGCATCTTGCAGTCATTGAGTTGACTGAGTTACCAAAGTATTGTAGAGTGAAATGCGAGGCCATCTGTCTGACAGCTAAAGATTGGCTGAAACTGGGTCATACAACAGGACAATGATTCCAAGCACACCAGCAAATCTGCAACAGAATGGCTGAAAAGGAAAGGAATCAAGGTGTTGCAATGGCCCAAAGTCCAGACCTCAACCTGATAGAAACGCTGTGGCAGGACCTTAAGAGAGCTTTCTATAAACAAATGCCCACAATCCTCAATGAACTGAAGCAATGCTGTAAAGAAAAGTGGGCCAAGATTCCTGCACAATAATGTGAGAGACTGATAAAGTCATACAGAAAACAATTACTTCAAATTATGGCTGCTAACGGTGGTTCTACAAGCTTTTGAATCATGTACTTAGTTTTTGAATCATGAATTGTGTACTTAGTTTTTGACACGTGGCTTCTCCATTTCGGCTTCATTTTTGTTAATGACACTGTGGAATCTGTTGTGTATTGTTTTACACCTGAGGACAGATTTAAATAATTTCAGAACCTGGTAAGGACCAGATGATTTTTAAAATTATGTCCTGATATGTAAAACAATGGAACTGAAAGAGGGTGTAGTTTCTTTTTCACATGATTGCAACCATAAAACCATCAAGAGCCTACTCCTCATATGGGCAGGAGTACATCCAGGGCTGGTGATTCAGAGATGTCAGGGAAATCAGAATATGTGGAAGAAAGCCTTATGAGACACAGAGCAAAGATGGGATTTGAAACCCCCAGCCTGGAAGTGCAATGCTCACCAACACCACCACCCATCCCACATGCACACTCACACTGCTGTCCACTGCTGCCATGACTTCCCGCCTCTCTATTCCTTTCTGCTGTTGCTGTCCCCGTCAGGGTCTGCAGACCATACCCAGGAGGCACTTTGCCATGAGGAGCTCTGCCTTGGGCTGCCGGAGCAGGCAGAGCGGCCTTCAGGCCCAGTGCCTCGTGTCCTGCTGCCTCCCAGGCACTGCGGAGCGCCTCCTGCTGGCTAGAGTCCTTCACTGGCTGACTCGAGCTTGAGGCCATGAGATCGCCAATGAACTGGTGCATCTCCAGCCATGAACATGGTCCACGCTAAAAACAAACATATAGTGAAGAAGGAGAAGTGGGCAGTAAAAAACATGGGCGAGAAAACTGCATTTAGTAAAAAAAAAATAATAATAATTATTATTATTATTATTATACAATCCCAGGGATCAGCAAATGAGGTAGCCAGAACGTATAATGAAGAAATCAGTTCCGTATTAATACTATATAATTTTAAAAATCCTTATACGGACATTAATCTTCATCCCCCTACACACACGGCCGAAAAAGGAAGAGTTAGATGCTACTAATATTCTACAAAGCATGATGTGAATGACACGGCAGTCACCACCCTGATAAGCCCGTAAAATGGGATAACCCAAAAACAGAACATGACGGCCGCACTCCACTTAGGCTGGTCACAAGGAGTACGAGTTTGAAACAACAACTAATTACAACCTATGTAAAAAATTGAAAGGTTTCTCCAAATCTTTTACGAAGGATTCATGGATGGAGAAAGTGGGACAAGTGTTACTAGGAACTGTCAGTAAAGGTATATCATGACATCTACAACCTTTAAGGCTACCTGAAAAATCCACATTACAAAAATGGTAGATCGTTCATGGATTAATGTAATATTTTATGAATCTATAACGACAGTATACATATAAGCACGTCAGGCGTGAGAACTGAATTAGCTAGGTTTCAGTCACATCGTTAAATTTGTCACACCACATACTGTACGTGGAAAATAAATACATGAAAAAGTCAATAGCCTGTCTTTCTAATTGTTACGATCCAAATAGCTGAACAATTACAAGTCATGATGGCCTTTTAAGTTATCCATATTTGTTTTACCTGAACTCGGCCGTATGTTGCGATTTTGTTACGTTATTTTACCAGCTCAAAAAATAAACCTTAACACGCTTTACGGATCATGCAATACATTTTACATCTGCCACCGGTAGATCTGCCACTTCAGCGTGTGGTCGACAGTTTTGTTGTATTTACTCACGCTTACGGCGAATCTGTCTTTGTCCATCTGAAATGAGTACATATGTGCAATTTGTCTGCCGGAGTTTTTCTACGGTGTTTCGCCAAAGGCTCCACCTCCGAAAAAATACAGAATAAATACAGAATCGCGTACAGAGATGGTTAGAAACAGCAAGGCCCGAACAAAGCTGCGGGTTATTATATATTTTTAGAACGGCTCTTGGTTTCCTTTTAAAACTTACTGTGAATACAGGGCTCAGCGCTCCGCCCCCCATATTTCACTCACTACTATTATTATGACCCCCTGATTCTTTTGCTTGCCGACAGTCTATTTCCGGGCCCCGTCGGGTCACATGACGCCGCTTGTAGTCCTGCCGTATATCTCCATAAATTCATATTTTCATGTCTTTTGAATTGTAGCGATCACTAGTGTGTGTGTGTGTGTGTGTGTGTGTGTGTGTACATATATATAACTCTTAAGCATATATGTACACACACACACACATATATATATGTGTGTGTGTGTGTGTGTGTATATATATATATACACACACACATATATATATACATATATATATACACACACATATATATATATATACACTCATACATATATACACACACACATATATATACATATATATATACACACACACACACATATATATATACACTCATACATATATACACACACACACATATATATATATATGAGGCTTTATATTTGCATATTTATTTATACATGTATGTGCATTTAAACACGTTTAATATATATATATATATATATGAAATACGTCTACTACCCAAATAAATAGCGTTAAACATGTTTAAATATATTATTGTGGGGACTCTCCATTCTTTTCTATGGGGAAAACTCTAATCCCAACATGACGACCTTAACCCCTACCCAGCCCTAAACTTAACCATAAGTAACCAAACAAAATACGAGACTTATTTTTAGTTTTTCAGTGTATTCACAGATGTTTATAGAGACCTGAAAAATGGTCCTCACAATGTCAAAATAGCAGGTTTTTATTACATTGTGGGGATCATTTGGTCCCCACAATGCAATATAAACATAATCCACACGCACACACACACGCACGCACGCATAGACCAATTAATCTGCCATAACATTAAAACCACCTGCCTATTATTATGTAGGTCCCACTTGTGCTGCCATTACAGCTCAGACCCCTTAAGGCCTGGACTCCAGAAAACCTCTGAAGCTGTCCAGTGGTACTTGGTAGCAAGAGATTAGCAACAGATACTTTAAGTCCTGTAAGTTGTGAGGTGGGGCCTACATGGATCAGATGTTTCTCAAGCACATCTCAGATGCTTGATCGGATTGATATCTGGGGAATTTGGCAGCCAAGTCAACACCCTGAACTCTTTTTCATGTTCCTCAATGCATTCCTGAACATTTTTTTCAGTGTAGCAGGGCACATTATTTTGCTGAAAGAGGTCACTGCCATCAGGGAATACTATTGTCATGAAGGGGTGTACTTGGTCTGCTACAATGTTTAGGTAGGTGGTACCTGTCAAAGTAACATCCATATGAAGGTCAGTACCCAAGGTTTCCCAGGAGAACATTGCCCAGAGCATCACACTGCTTCTGCCGGCTTGCCTTCTACCCGTAGTGCATCCTGGTGCCATCTCTTCTGCAAGTAAACAACGCACACGCACCTGGATATCCACATGATGGATTACAGATTGAAGGATCCTACTCACTCCACTCAATTCAAAGATGTACAATTTACAGGGGAAACACGCTTCAGTTACATTGTGTTCACTATAATTTCCAGGGGTGCTAATAATCATAGCACATGTGTTTTTGTTATAGGTAATTATTTCTTGATGAAAGATTGTTTTTTTTCTTGGAATAAATTTATTTTAATGAAAGGTTGGATTTTTCTCAATTTTTCAGTGTGACATGAAGCTACTTCACCAAAAGGTGGAATTTTTACAAATCTTTACAAGAGCTGCCAATAATTGTGGAGGGTGCTGTATATAGCAAATTACAGAATTTTTTAGAACTGTATTGTGCCTGCAATTAAATAGATGAAAGCTTATGTGTTATTTTGTTTATATATCATCAACCACAACCCTTGAATGCATCTGAACCCACTGTTTGCCACATGAATGGAGCAAATATACCTATTATCTAAAAACTCTGGAGCAGCTAATTGCAGCCTGCAACAGTATTCACCAGTCTTCATAAGATATTACACAAATCATACTGTATTTACGAGTTTAAAAATAAACACAAAAACGAGCAGGATGTGTCGCCCCCTACTGGACAGCCAAGATACACTCACCTAAAGGATTATTAGGAACACCATACTAATACGGTGTTTGACCCCCTTTCGCCTTCAGAACTGCCTTAATTCTAC